TCTTGCTATAGCTCCCAAAATTTTTTATACATCTACATATGTCTCACGCACAACTAAATGACGGTGCTCTCGTTCTAAATGAACAATAGCTGGCTCTGATCACAGGGTCAGTCTGGAAGGAAATCCTCTAAGAACAACACATTAGACGAGAGCTGACAAGTATTTTAGGTGAAATTTCCTGAACGAGTCAACTTTTCAGGTGCGGTCTACAATAGTACAGCCAAGCCAACGGAACAAATCTCATGCCCAATGATCAACTACTGCACAAAGTACGATCTTTCTGTTTTCGTTTATGATGTTTCTAGGAAAAAATTATACAATCAAAGAGGCTTCTTTACATTTCAGAATTACTGCTATTATGCCCGTCTCGTTGGCCACGTACGGTTGCGACCAATCAGCCGCATTATGCAAGGTGAGAAGGATGTTATTTCAAGGTGCTACAATTATTTTCGCTGATGTGTGATTGCATAAAAAGGATAGAATACCAATGTTGGCCGGTCACTGGGATGCGCCGTGCACCTGCCTTGCTTCCAGAAACGTTGAGAGATTCTGGGCAGCAAGTTTTGGTGTACTATACCATCATCTAAACAATGATAAGAGCTCAAGGCATTTATGACCCAGACAAAAAAGTTGCTATAGCGCCGAAAAGGCAGTTAGAGGCAGGGGCATCTTTTTGGCTGAGATAGAAACAAACGAGAGAGGGGAAGGGGTCGCATTCTATACGTTTTTGTGAGGTTGTGAGATCTTAAACCTGGTCGAATGCGGATAATGACCCTGCTTTGAAACTCGCGTTCTAACCAAGTGGCTCTCTAGCCGGGCTAACGCGTTGAAATTCTTCTCAAGCTCAGTCTATATACGTTGTGCTACAATTGTGGACGAGAATCCAGTCCATGGCGCATCCTGAAGTAATAAATTACCACCAACGCTATACTTCAGCCTTCATAATTTTCCTTATACTATGTTTCTCATGGGTGATACACATAGACTTCGCATCTTATATCACTTTTTGACGGGATAAAAGGTTTATCTGGACCACTAAGGCGGTGTGGTTAGTGTGTCACCGTCCGCTGGTACAGTTACCAGCGAGGGGTCGTAGTCGCGACATCGGAAGAGGGATGACCAAGGGTAACCATTTCTTAACACATTCACGCCGATGGCCGCCCATATGGGCTGCCAACTGATAATCGCTTGCCAGGCGCTAGGAATGGACAGATAGGTGGGCAAACCTCGTAATCGAGTGTAAAATGCTTTTAAATTCCTTCACGGGGAAAAACATATTCGTCGCTCTCTTTTCGTAACCACTATTGCTAGTCTGTAGTAATCGTGACACATGGACACGATTGCGTGAGAGCATTTTGTGGCCATTTCATGTTGATTGCTTCATCTTACGCAGCGGAAATATGCGGCGGCCGCCCACAAAATCGCACGGGTCCCACGAAACAGGGGGAAAAGCGGCCGTCGTCTGCTGAACCGTCGTTATGGAAAATCGGAAGGGGCCTTAATCGTGGAAACTGAAGGTCATGGACGGGAGTCGGTGTTTTTGCGGAATTTCAGCAAGTTGTGGCCAAATCGTTCATGAAAAAGGAAGCGTTGAAATAGATTGAGACGAGAGACAAGGAGACAAACGAGGAGAACAGGACAACTTTCAACGCCAGGATACTTCACCGCTCCTTGATCGCGGCCGTTTCTTGAGTGTTGGAATTTGTGGGTGGAGGAGCCGGAAGTATGGTGCGATAAATCTTAGATGACTCAGCACGTGGGCTGGAACAGGCACGTGATTGTGCGCCGAATGGTGACGGAGACGTGAGGGAGCGGGTCGTGTAGAGACACCCCCGAAGAGGGTACGGGCGTGACTTCTTGAAAAGCACCAATGCTAAGGTTGACTCTGGCTGGAATGGTGCTGAATGCGCCGCGAGGAGACGAGCTCACAAGCAACACACACCATTTGGTGAGAGGTCTAAGCCGACCAAACACGCACACTGCAACCTCCAGCTAGTTCGTGACTCACCACGTCGTACCCTGGACAGGACTGCCGATCTTTGACCCTGAACAGGTTCCGATCCTGTGGGCCGTATAAACACCTAACCATGCCTATCCCCTGCACCTTTGTTTCTGTTTATCACTATATGATTTTCGTTCAGATTAATGGCTGCTACGACAACCAAAACGGCGGGTTGACGTGCTGCTGCAGTACTGACCTCTGTAATGCCTCGAATCGTTACCTACATGGATCTCTTCTCATCGTCTTCTCAATTTTATACCTCTCATTTTAAGTCGTTTTATTGATTTCTGGAACATGTACATATCATTTTCATTCTGCTTATTACATTTGTATTGACATTTTATGACATTGTAAACTGTGAACCTTTGAATATAATACAATACAAATTTGTATGTAACGTATGAGCCTAAGGACTAAATAACACTGAATACCGGATATTTTTTAAAGTGAATGAAATGAAGTAGAGAGCAGTGATAAGGAATGAGCGAAACGCCGAGTGCCGGAAACCGGAAATCGGAACAATTCCTGTTTCCGGCTGAAATAATCTGTACATCGCACCTACAAACACCCCACAACTGTCCTTTATCGAAGCATAGAGAAATTTGGGCGCTATCACAATATACGGGGGCATCGTGGTGGCAATGCATTCAAAATCGCGTAAATGTTCTCTTATAAACAGGGCTAAGCCTTAGAAGAGGGGTGTTCTTTTATAAACAGGACTAAGCCTTAGAAGAGCCCTAAAATGGGTGAGCCTTCTCCAGTTTCCCTGGAGCTCCTGCTAATTCCTAGGCCTAGTCCTAGGGGATGCCCCCGTATATTGCGATAGCGCCGAAATATGTAAACAAAGTGACCTGGCCAAGTTAGGGCTGCACATTTCCTAATAATTACTTGAGACAATTCCTTGGATTCTCCGGAAGCTTTCCAGAAGCGAAAACCTACCCAGCAAATCCTTACCTATAGCCGAAGAGATCAAACTTTCACCGGCGAGTTAGTACCTGGCAAATTTGCCCTGTTGTTTTCGCGCTTTGGCGGAAGATTTTCTGGTAACGGTCTCCCTTTTGTTTCCGGAATGACCACCTGATACATCACCGTGTCCAGAGCGGCCATGACGGTGAGAACGATATACGGTAGCGCTTCCCAGAAGTTCTGAAATCGATACACGTTGTCGTAGACAGCTTAGAAATACTTAAGATGCTTCGAAGGCAGTGATCGCGATGGCTGGAGAGCTTTGCAATTTCGATGACGGCGTTAAGGGAGAAGGGCGTTCAAAGGCGGTCCCAGCCCTTAAAACGGCTGGGAGTCCACTTCCCCATAACGTTTCATGACGTTATCAAAACCGCACCGCCCTCCAGCTGTCACAATCAGTGCCTTAGAAATAAAGTATGGGTTTCAGATACCCTAAGACAAGTCCCACTCACCAAAACGATAAGCTGTGGCGCAAGAATGGTGCCAAGACGACTGCATGTTGACTTGAACGCTAATCCAGAATTTCGAACTACGGTAGGATAGTATTCCATGGCCGAGATCGTTTTTGTGATGAAAATCTGAATGAGAAAAATCATTTTGAAGAGGGACAGAGAATGCGAAAGGAAAGCTTATGTTCAACTTGACAGGAGAAACATCAAACGCAGGTGTGGCTAACCCCAACATCGAATACATACTGTATTAGGATAACTGGACTGAGAAAAATATAATTTTCATGAAAATGCGCGCCTTCGAAAAGCGCTGGGAAAAAGTACGAACATCATCAGAAAAGAGAAGGAAAATGTAAGAAAAAACGTATGCATAGATTAAAAAACGATTTTCGAGGTTTGTAATTCGATGCTTTTCTATCCCTACATGGGGAAGTACAGACTGTACTGGAGCTGTTCGTTTATCCTGTGTCCTTCGCGCGGACATAGCTGGGTCAAACGTTATGTAATTATAAGAGTAGGGTGTATTTCGGGAAGTATTGCAAAGCACTACCTTCTGAAAGCGCAGAAAGAGCTCTTTTCAAAAGTGCAACAGTCTTAGTAGTGAAGGCTTCCGCCTTTCAGCTTTATGGAACCTCTACATATTTGGAAAAGGGCGGAAGTGGTGTAGTGGCAAGTGGCACGCTTACCACGCGAGCGGTCCGGGGATCAAATCCTGGGTCGTGAGTCGCCCGGGCCAACCAAGCCTTCCATCCCTCCGGGGTCGGTTAATTGGTACCAGACTTGTCTGGGAGGATAAAAACACTGACTTGTACATCGGCTGGCCCCCGCAAGTCATTGTATAGGCCACATCGCATTCAAACGCCACTACGAATGTACAAGTATAATGCGTGCCGCATCCCAAAAACGAATCTTATCCTTATGCTTAATTATCGAACAGATTGCGCCAAGCCAGACCACGATTCACCACCAAGATAACGCCAAAGAAAAAAGGGCTTTTCCTCTTTCTTTCTGGCCGTCGAACTTGTGGATGGGCGCACTCGACATTCTTCTCGTTTCCGGGACACCGCTAGGGTATGTCTGGGAAAATGGGTTGACCACACCAAATCGGAAAATATAGAGCCTGCAAGCATGTTTTTGCGCCTATCAACCATGTACAGAAAATCCAACAAAACCGCAGTCGATTCAAATGCCCTCGAAACCAGTTGGGGATCGCCGACAATACCGGTAGCCAGCATCGAGCTGATAACTATATAATAAGCAGCTGAACACTTGTACCGAGCATACAAATCAGTCGATACAAGCCAAGTAAAACGTGATTTTGAGAGCCCACATTTAACCTCCAAATTTCCTGAAAACTTACTTGTGAGGTAGTGGCTGCAGCGAAGATTGTGGCGACCCGAATGATTATTGAATATCGTTACCCGTCGAGATCTTAAAAATAGGATCCAAGTAGGCCCAGAAAATTTGGAAAAATACCTGAGTTTTTATCAGCTCACCTCCGGATATAAGGACGGCAATGCTCCAAGCGATAGCGCTCGAAGCATTGAGAGACAAAGATGGACGGCTTTACGACCCGCGATGCCTCCACCTTAATCGAGCTATTGTAGTCTTCAAAAAGCCCTGCAAATCACCAAGTACAATTCATTACCAGAATAGAGTGTTAAAAGCGATAAGGGCACGGAAATAAACTCCATCGATGCTCTTTGTACTTGCGAGCTTGCACCCGTACGGAGGTAAGTGACCTCACTGTCCCGCTCAGGGTTTACCCAAAGTACTTCGAACACTTCCTTCTCTTGAAGGTTTGCTGATTCAACTCTAACTCCTTTTCGTGCTTTCTTGACAACTTCTATCTCTACTGCGTATGCTAGGTCATTCATAGATCTTATCAAGTAGCAGGCTGTAAATTCAAAAAAAACGAAAACGGCCCAAAACCTGTGATCCAATCAAGAACTCCTGCTAGGGACAACTCCAACACAACCTCCCCCTTAATCTTTTCTTGCCCGACACCTAGAAATACAATAAAAGTTCAGTTTGCATGTACCTCTTGGTCAAATTCCCCCCCACCCCTCCCCACCTGCATCAAGAGTACCGAACACTACCCAGCTCCGCCACGTTCTTTGTATCTGTGCTTTAGGCAGAATAAGGGCTCAAGTAGCTTTAAGAAAACAAAGCCGAGGTGGGGTAGTGGCAAGCGCTGTCGCTTATCGGGCACTCGATGGGAGGACCCAGTCGTGGGCCGTGCGTTATTAACCGAATCGTCGAAACCCTACAAGCCTTTGGCCGCTCCAGAGTTGGTTTCTCGGCATGGAATTTGCCGGCAGGCTTAAACACTGGCTCGTGGTACAAAGTCTCTCCCAAATTATCCGATAGGCCAAATCGCGTTCAAGGTGCCACTACAATTCCGAGTCTAGCCGGGATGCGTGGCGCATCCAAAAAAGTCTTACCATAGTGCGGCTTCATTTTCAGATTATTGGACCTAACCATTTCGGAAAAATGTCTTCCTACCAGTTATTTAACTCCCTCACTGAAGACTGTGGTGAATAAGAAAGGCGCAGCGATTGAAACTCACTTGAAATCTAATACTCCGAAAGCAATATTGATGCTCCAACGTATCAAACCCATAAGAATTGAGTTGACGAAAAACGATCCCGCTAGTGTTTCGATGTTGAAGATGAGCCCGTAATTGATCATGCTCGACATAAATCTGCAAAAAATGATTTGATAGAAGATTAAACTAAATCAATCCACAAGGACAAACAGCATTTTCTTAAGGAAGAAATCTTCATTGAATTCCTATCTAACTCTCCTTTGCTATGTACATCATTTGAAGGCACTGATCACGATGGCTGGAAGGTGGTGCTTTGGTGACTTCACTGAAGGTCATTGTGGTGGGGCTTTTGGAGAAGTTCCAATCACCTACTCCCGCACCCCAGCTCCAGCCCAGTCGTTTGAATCACCCGCTCTCCAGCCATCGCGATCACAGTCTCTAACTTTGATTTCAAGGCGAAGCTTCGAAAAACCATTGACAGTGCAGCCAACGCATAGGTTCAAGGACGGGCACTGGTTCCTACTCAAATCGTGTCAGGACCAACGAAGCCTTCCATCATACCGGACTCGGTTGAGCGATACCATACTTGCTTGGGCAGACAGAAGCAACCACTCACGGTTTAGCCTCCAGAACTGGTTGTATAGACCAAATCTTTTCGGAATGCTACTACAATTCCGAACATAAGTAGAATGTGTGGCGCACTTCGAAGAGAAGAGATTGACCACAGCGGGTTTAAAACCCCTTGCATGCATTGCCACCATCAAAGAGAGCACTGACAGCAGAAAAATTTGACAAAAACGCTTCCAATTGTTGGACACCTTGAGCTTTACATTGATACAGTACTTCCAAACGAGTTCAAGGAATTCAGTTCTGAGGCTATCCTTTCAGATTCTTGTTCATCAACTTAGGGTAAAAATCGCTCTAACTCGACCGATCCAATGTTTTTTGTGTTTCGCAAAAAACCGCCTTATTAGGCGCTCTGTGCTGCCTTCGTCAGGGCGTCCTGCATTCTACAACGTTTTCGATGGGAAGAATCAGGGACTTGATCGACACTCATGAAAATGGGGTTTGTGCCAAAAAATTATGCCCGCGTCCATACCTGGCTTACTACGAGCCGATTAGGGGAATGTGTTGACTTTGCGACCAGTCACTAGCGGTGGGAGCGAACATTGTTGTTCCAACGGCGGCAATATCAGCTATCAGCAGTATGAGGGCCGTAACATAGTTCCTCTTACAATTAC